TTCAAAATTGTTATTTCATTTTTTATAGGATTGGTAGCCTAACATTTCCCCAGCTCAAAATATTTAATGAAAAACGTAAACCTGTATAACAAAGATTTATAGCCTAGAATTCTGTCAAATATCCTTGAAAAAAAGTCCTTGAAAAAAGTCCTTGAAAAAAAACTAAAAGAGTCACCTGGAGTGATGTTGAAGACATCAGTGAATCCAACTGAGTCCCCATATTAGGGATTACATTGTGATGACAATGGAGTGAAACTGTCCCTGTGTTTGGAGGCTATGTGGGTCTGGATGGGAAGGAAGAGACTTAGGCTCAATCCCAACAAGACTGAGTGGCTGGGAGTCTCCATCTTTAGCCTTGGACTAGGCTGCACTTCCTTATTCAAGACTGGTGTGCAATTTGGGAGTCATTTTGGACTCTCAGCTTCTGCGTGAAAAGCAGATGGCCGGTGTGGCCAATGGACTAAGGATCTTTGCATAGAGCCATCTAGTGTGCCAGTTGTGGATGAGAAGGCCCTTCAGATGGTCACTTATGGACTGTTGCAATGTGGTCTACGTGGGGCTGCCCTTGAAAACCACTTGGAAGCTACAGCTGGTCTGGAATACAGCAGCATGGGCAGTAATAGGCATACTGCAGTATATATGCTCATGTGATACCACTGCTCTACAAGCTGCACTAGTTGCCAGTTGGCTTCCGGGTACAATTCATGGTGCTGGTTACTATTTTTGACCACCACCTATAAAGCCTTTCATGGCATAAAGCCTAGGCATCTGAGGGACCACCTATCTCCAATAATTTCTGCCTGTCCAGTATGATCGGGCAGAGTGGGTGTAGTTCAGGTCCCCTCAGTTAAATAATGTTATCTAGTGAGACCTCAGAAATATGCCTTGTCATGGAACCTGCCCTCTGAAATGACATTCCCCAAGAGATCTGTACAGCTCCCACCCTGATGGATGTTCCAAAAGGCATTGAAAACCTGGTTACTTCCCCAGGCCTTGGGGTAGAGTGGTGGTGAACCTGTAAGATTTGGCTTTGTTTCATATGGTTCTTCTTTCTAGACACTATCTCTTTGTTTCTTCATACTATTGTTGTAGCTTTTTAATAATTAAAGTACCCATGTCATTAGGAGTCAGGCATTCTTTAAACCTATGTAAATAAATAGATTTCTTCAGAAACTGAACATGGCAACAGATGTCACATCCTTATATTCTGCTTCTGTTCAATGGAGAGGAACGCCCACACATAATCGCTAACTGCCGTGTAGATGACAGTTGGTAATCTTTTTATTTATTTATTTAGGATGTTTATACATTTCTATTGCCTGCTTAATAATTCTGGAGAAATACCTGCTCTATTACTTCATCTTATGGATATCTATTAAACTACCAGGCAAAAGGTAGTCTGGATTAGTGTAAGTATTGATGGATTTTATATTTATCATAGTCATGTTTCACTATGAAGAAGTCAATGCTGCCTGGAGTTTCCAGTTAATGTGCACAACTATTTGTAAAGACAAACAGTATTCTCTGTGAACTCAAGATTACTCACTGGGCTTCATTTCATACATGATACGTTAGATGCAGTGCTGATGTAGAACATCCTGCTTACAACTTCAGTGTGGATGGAATGCCATGAATACAATCCTATGTCATGTTTCAAGTAGGAGTTTGCATCCATTCTTAAAAACAGGTATTGGAGTTTTTTTGGTTCATGGAAGACTATGAACATATTATGGGAATTCTACAAATCACCAGTCATTTGGGAATTTAGAGAGGCAGAGGATGTACAGTGCATTTGGAAAGTAT